TGGTCAATGAACAGACTTTAATGATGAGACAGGCATGAGGCAGGCTCAGGAGCCCACCAGGAGGATGACACCCAGGGTGTAGCAGCAGCAGGAAATTGTGTGCCTCTGGGTCTGGACAGGTGAAGAGAGGGAAAGGTCTTAACAGAGCCCCAGTAAATGCTGGAGGCTGGGAAGAGGGAGATGGAGTAGGAAAGGACAACAAAGCTCAGAAGGCTCAAGGAAGAAGCACGCTCACCTCTCCCCTACACCCTAATGTCCTCCCCACCTCCTTCAGGTATCTTAATGTGAACCCAACAAACAGTGCATGCAGCAGCTCAGTGATAATAAAGATTCAGGATGTCTATGAAATGGTAGGCAGCTCTTGGGACAGAAATCATGGAGGTATGTCTGGGAGAGGCAAGCTGGGGGGACAGGTTGTTCTGCAGGCGGTGAGGTAAGTGGAGGGGACAGTGAGGGTCAGATCTGTGGATTTTAAGGACAGTGGGGAATCCAAAGGTCAGCGAGGCCCAGAGGGGCTAATATATGGAAGTATGTTGGGGGCATGGAGTCTGAGATGTGTGCCCAGCCCCTTCCTCCTGCCAGCCTCTCAGAGTCACTGTGCTGTAGTGCCGCACTGCAAGGAAACTTTTCTCCACTGGCACTTCTGTCATTCCAGCTTTTTCTTTCTCTCACTATTAAATGCCAGTTTGAGTGTAAACCCTGATGGACCTCCCATCTGTTCAAAAAACAGTAAATATTTACTAAATTACTATATTAAGCCTAAAATGGGGGAAAAAAGTCAAAATGAAATAGGAGCCAGGCAAATGTTCTCCCAGCTTCTGCTTTGTGACAGGAAAGCCATTGGTTCAGGGACTGTGTTCTTAAAAATTTACAGTTACTGAGGGTTTTTTTTCTTCTTGAAGCCAGTGTGTTTGATTACTACATTCACTGTAACAAGACAGTCACCCACCAATTGGACAAACTAAAATGTGTCTCCACCTTATTCATTATATTTTTTTCGGGGGGGGGGCTGTTCTTGCTCCAGTAATAACTGACCAGTAGCTAGAAGCTTCTAAAATATGCCTTTAAAAATTAAAAAAAGTATTTTTTTGGATAATAATAGCTAACATATAGTGGGCATCTTTCTTTCAAACCTCAGAATGACCCTGAGAGGTTGTTATTGTTTCATAATTGAGGTTAAATAACTTGTCCAAGATTACTCACCTGCTAAGTGGTGAACACACACCCAGGCTGCTTTTGAAACTGATAAAGAATACATCCAAACAATGCCTTAATTCACCTTAGATGTACCTAGTACTTAGATGTACCTAGTACTTATCACCTACATCGAATTATTAATATTTTATGTTACTTGAGATTGGTAAGGAGGAATAAAGTAGCTACCAAGTAATTTTATTCACCATTCATTCATTCATTCATTCATTCACCCAATAGAGATTTTGTGGGCTCTATGGATGTCCTCAAGGTACTACAGTCAAGGGGAGAGACAGGCATGAAGACAGACCATCTAGTTAGCTGGATGGAACAGGATGGAACAGCATGCACACAGGTGAAGAGGCCACAGCTAATACCAGAAATGTGCAAGTAAGGTGGAAATCAGATGGACCTGATCAAGAACAATCTTTTGTTTTGATCAAGAAACTGGAAATCAGCCTGAAGTCTCCACAGAGCTGCTAGAGGGGCATAAGCAACACAGTGGCATGATCCAGGCTTAGCATCTGTCTGAGCCACCTGTAAAGTCAATACAATCTAGAGGTTAAATCATGTGCCAAGGTCAACTGTTGGGTCAGAACAATAACTCCACCTCTCAAGACACACAACCTTGAGCAGGATCCTTAACCTTGCAATTTCCACCTGCAATTTGCAGATAATCATTAATACCTATATCACAGGATTAAAGTAAGGATAAAAGTATTATAAAATGTAACAATAGTAAAAATAAGGATGAAATAAATATTAGCTACTAATAACAACAGCTTATTGATTAATACCATTATTAAAATGAATATTAAAGACTAAATTAAAGGCTAAAAATGAGTGCTTATTATTATTATTATTATTATTACCATTTCTATGGACACTGAGAGGTTGGGCTGGAGGTAAAAGGCCAGAGGTCACAGAGGCAATGCAGCAGTCACCACAAATCCTCATTGAAATTAGACCAGAAAAGAACTTTGGGGCAAAAACCAGTACTGGATCAAATGTCAATTTAGGGAGTTATAATCAATCTTATTTAAAAGTGAGAAAGAATGAAACAGGAAATGGCACAGTGCATTGTTCATAGCACAGTAACTTTGGTTTTGTGCATCTTGTTTCCATTTTATACCTATAAACACACTCCCATACATAAAAGTGTCTATCAGGTCATGATGTAAGATGGTTTTTGCATTAAGAATTGCAGTCAAAACAAATTTTCCAGACCCTGGAGTAGAAGAATTATCAGCAGTGATCCTACAGTCCTGCCACTCAGGCACTCAGTGGCCATCATCTGGTCAGCCAAAGTCATAGCTTGAGCGTCAGGACAGAGCTGTGAGCCCTGATTTTGGGCCCTCAGTAAGATGATTTGATTTCTCTGTTTCCTAGGTCACACCCCTTATCCCAGCATTAGTTTTGGGGGATATTTTAAGGACGGGGTGCCCCTCTTACTCATCTTGATTGGCTCTAGGGACATCACAATAATCTTATCTCTTTGTGGTAATGCTGGTTTTGCCACTAGCTCACCATATAGCCTCAGACAGGAGACCATGAGGCTTTGAATCACTGTTGCCTTAGCTATACAATGGAGCTGAAAAGAGATGTCTTATATGTTCATGGTTATTATGAGGCACCAATAAAACCAGAAATGTTTACACTTTTTGAAAATGATGGCAAACTCTGTAGAGGGAAGGCTACAGTAGACACTCGGATTCATGATGAATCTCAAAGACAGTGAGTGATAACCTCAGACCATTCTCTTGTAAAGCAAAGAGGTACAGGTTTCTAAGTTAGGACACATGGACCTGTTTGAGTGTGTCTAGAGAACTCCTTAGCAAGAAAAACAAAGTCTGCACTGGAGCCATGCTAAGACCTGCCCTTGAGAAGGCCTTAGAGGTCTTGGGAGGGAAGGGAGCACTATCAGGCCAGTTACCTCATGATCAAAGGCAGAACTTGGCAACCATTAGCATTCGGACCAAAATTGACCCATCAGTGTGTGGTTTTTTTTTTTTTTTTCTTTTTTTAAAGATTTATTTATTTATTTATACAAGCACTGGGTACAGTCAGAAGTGTAGGAGGGTGAGAGGATTCACCAGAGCCAGAGCGGGGAGCAGAGCAGGCAGAAGAACCAAAGTACACTGCTGAGGGGAGCAGTGGGTGGCAGGAGAGGTCTGCGCGCTATGTGGGACCCTTGCCATGGCCGGGGATTGAACCAGTGCTGCAGAGGCTGCGGGCAGCTTCGCAGCCCAGCGCTCAACTGCAGCGCTAGCAGGGGAGGCCCTAGTGTGTTTTGTTTGACTTGCAAAGTATTTTGAAATTTCTTTTAAATAATGAACAGCATTTAAAAATCATACACTTTTTGGCTATGTCTAAATTTCCAGCTTGCCTTAAAAATTCACAAGATGCCCTGCATGGCTTCACTGCTGCATTGGCAGGCACTGGGTGCCCACTGCCCTCTTGGACAGAACCACCCTCCCTATCCACCCTTAATACTGAGACTCTAGCCCCTGCCATTGATCACAACCCTTGGTTGTTGCTTCATTGCTTCTCTGATAGGACAGTTACACAGTGGAATGTTCTGTATACATACCCACATTACTCTGAAAACTGGAACTGTGAGAGAAAGTACTGAGAAGTTGGATGTGTCAAGCAAAAAACAATTCTCACAATATGCTGTGGAGGATATTCTGCTCACTTCCTTTGCTTAACTCCTCACTTGTAGGGGGCTGTGTCTGCTACCACAGACCTAAAGGGAGACATTTTGAAGGAAAAAGAGGGAAATCCTGTAGCTTTAAAAAATTTTGGGTATCAGTCTAGGGCAAAAGCATCAAGATGGGAAAAAGAGGAGAAAGGGAAAAGAGCTTCCCACCAATCAGAGGCCCTGGCAACACTCACAGGAACAGAATACAGGTTGCCCACAGCGCCTGCGATGAGATGGAGGAGTCTGGAGGTGCCCTGATTAGCCCTGGACTCGGAGCCAGCCTAGCTGGGAGGATACTTTTGCATAGTGAGAAAGGAAGGGAGGCTACTCCAGGGGGCATATGGGAAACTCATCCTTAAAGCCAAACAGAAGTGGGTTCAGATCCTCGCTTTGTTACTACCTAAGCGGCCTGAAAGGAAGTCCAAAGTCTCAGTCTTCTCATTGTCAAAGGGGAGCTGGCTAGCTGGTTAATTAACCAAATGTCTGTCAGGTGGCCAGGCAGCTCAGGAGTGAGCAAAACCGGTGAGGCCCCTGCCATGATGGAGCTTGCATATTAGTGAAAAGTAGACAATAAGTAGTTGAATTATCTGGGGGTGGTGAATGTGAATTGGCTCATTTCCATAAAAGGCGAGCCATATGATGACTTAATGAGATAATACATACAAAGTGGTGGCCGCTGATACTCAGTTCACAAACTCTTAAGAAGCACCAGTCACGCTTTAGGCCCTGTCCCCGTGGGTTTGGGGATGGGATCAAGCACCACGCGATTCATGTCTAGAGGGGCTCCCGAAACAGGTGTCCTCGGGTCCTTCGGGTCAACTGCCTGGAAACCCTTCCAGGAGGGGAGGGGAGGCGTGGGTTGGGGTGTGGGAGGAGTGTGGGAGTGAAAAGGCCGAGCAGCAGCCAGCCAGCAGGCACCTCGTGGCGCTGGGTGCACGCTCCCCGCCGCCCGGGCTGCGCAGCCATGGAGCGGTGCCCTGGCCTGCAGAGCCCGCGGCGCCCCCTCCACAGAGGGCAGGTGAGCGGAGGGCCAGGGTGGACTCGGATTGGCCTTTGCCCCCTGGAGCCAGCGCTCACGCCTTTTCTCTGGTTCCTGGGGTTCCAGCCCACTCGGCCCTGCGCGCGGCGAGGACCCCGTCCGTGCATGCGGAGGAGCGCGGGCGCGAGGCCATGGACGTGAAGGAGAGGAAGCCGTACCGCTCGCTGACCCGGCGCCGCGACGCCGAGCGCCGCTACACCAGCTCGTCCGCGGACAGCGAGGAGGGCAAGGCCCCGCAGAAGTCCTACAGCTCCAGCGAGACCCTGAAGGCCTATGACCAGGACGCCCGCCTGGCCTACGGCAGCCGCGTCAAGGACCTGGTGCCGCAGGAGGCCGAGGAGTTCTGCCGCGCAGGTGAGCGCGGGGCGGGGCGGGCGGAGGCCACGCCCCTGGGCGGGGCGGGCGGGGGCCACTTGCCTAGGTGGGGCTGGCAGAGGCCACGCCTGTAGGTGGGGCTGGTAGAGGTCACGCCCCCATGGGCGGGTCTGATAGATGCCACGCCCCTGGGCGGGGCGGACGGAGGCCGCGCGCCTGGGTGGGGTGGCGGAGCCCACGCCTATGGGGTGGGGCTGGTATAGACCACGCCCCTTTTGGGGTGGGCTTTGTAGAGGACACGCCCCCTGGGCGGGGCTGTTGGAGGGCCACCCCCTGGACGTGGTCCTAGTGCTGCCAATGCCTGCTTCTGGGCAAAGCCCCAGGTGTTATCACTCTGGCTCACACTCACCTGTTGGCCTCAGGTGGCGGTTGCGAGCTGAGCTCTGGGTCCCGCTGCACCCCGCCCTCCCGGCGTCAGGCCTCGTCTGTCAGCGGGTATGGGGTGTCCTCACTGCGCTGTCAGGACTGATGAAGTGACGCGTTTAAAGGGTAAACGTGCTAGTGCCGAGTCGGTGTTTGCTGGTTTTGTGATTTTTCCGTCCATTTTTCAGTCAACAAACATACCTTAGCGCCTTCTTTGTGGCAAACACGGGTCTGGCCTTGAGAGGAGCCGCTTCTGAGGTGGTCAGGCCTGAAATGTTAGTGACTTGGGGGCCATCCTGGCGCCTGGCTCCCTCTCCTTCGCGTCCTGCACGCAGCGGTCACCTGAGCCTGCCTGTCCCACGCCGGGATGTCCGTCAGGTCCATCCCTCTTCTCCATCCTCTCTCTAGCTGTCCCAGGTCAGGCCACTGCTGCGGCCCTGGGAGGCCTGACCGCAGCCCCCTTCGGCCGGTGCTGCCTGCTCCGGGCCACTCGCTGCCCTGTAGCCAGGCTGGAGCTAAGGTTGACTCGTCTTGCCCTGAACTTGCCGCCAGGTTTTCCTGCACTGTTGTGCCCCCTGCCGCTCCACACCCCTTTACTCGTGCTCCAGCTCCGCTGAACTGCTTATCATTCCTACATCTTCCGTGATATCTGGCCCCTACCCCTGTGCACCTGTGATTCTGCAGTTTCTGACTGCAGATCCCTGAGCTCTCTGACGCCTCGTGGGCCCCTGACGATTCTTGCAGTTCTCCCTGATTCTGCCCTGCTGTCTCCCCTTCCAGGGCTAGCTGGCCACTGTGCTCTGTGATTTATATACTTTAGACTTTGTTATTCATCCTTGCGAGAAGCCCAAGCTGAATCATTTTGTCCAAGATTACGGAGCTCAGACAGCCCTGCCTGGCCCAGTTTGGCCGGGATGCCACCAGAGGCTGCAGAGAACAGCCCCTTCTTGTCTTTATAAGTGACAAAAAGGTGTCCTCATCACACAGGCAGGCCTGACTGTTGCTGTTGACAAAGCACTGTCTCCTATTAACTTCTCTTGAGCAAATTTAGAGCCTCAAAAATCCTGTGAAGGTAGAGGACACAGATTATCATCCCTTGTAGGGGCAGGAAGGACCACAGTGCAGGTTTTCTGACCAGCAGACCGGGTAAAGGAGGAGTCAAGAGTCCTCAGTGGCTTTTGCAGGTCTTTTATTAGATTTGCCAGGCATATGGGAGGTAGGGGTGCTGGGGGGCTGGGAAGCTGGCAGTCCTCCCAGCCCCCAGCAAATCCTCACTCTATCTGGGCTGTCTGGCCTTCTCTCTGTTTCTCTTCTTCTCTCGGCTTCCATTTGTTCTTGGCTTCTACTGGTGTCCCCGTGACGCCGGCCTTAAAAAGCACAGTCTCAGCCCAGGTGAATCCCATCTACCTATGTCCACACCCTACTCCAGGTGCCCGCCATCAGGCATGCAATCAGGACCACAAGGTTCCATCATCTATCCTGATGGCGGGAGGGCAGAAAAGCCTGACATTTTTCCTTCCCCTACATCCCATTTTAAAGACAAGAATACAGAGGCTCAGGTGCTGTCGCTAGCCCAAGACTGCATGACAAGATGTTGAGTGAGGTGGTCAACCCATGTCCTGGGATTCTTAAGAGAGACACCAAAAGGACATAAAGCAAGCAGAGCATGAGGACTTCTCATGCAATAAATCTAAGCACACATGTCAGAGAGCCTGGGCTGGCTCAGTGGGATCACTGAGCCCTTAGACTCAGCCCTCACCTTGCATTTCTCCAGTCCTGAGATGTCTCAGCTCACTCATATCAATGCTGAGACTGGCTGCTTCAGAGGGTATCCAGGGCAAACCATATGGAAATCAATGCAGCCCAGGATGTTTATTGCAAATTAATTTGATTTTTCACTTAATGTAGTCGTCATTCTTCATAACGTGTGACTGACCTCCCTTGAGAGGGCCAGCTTAGTAGAGCAGAGATGAGAGTGGGGAAGGGATGGGGGACAGGCCAGGGATGGGGAAAGGAGACCAGAAGTGGACAAATGGGGCATGCTGAGTGTGGTATACAGAGGTGGGAAGCTAACTGTGAAGAGATAGGCTCTGATGTGGATTTTTTTCCTACTTAGAGGGAGAGAAAAAGAGGAAGGCAGAGCAGAGTATAACACATAGGGGTGATGTTAAAAATATTTAACCCCGGTGGCGCAGCGGTTGAGCGCTGGGTTGCGAAGCTGCCCGCAGCCTCTGCAGCGCCGGTTCGATCCCCGGCTGCTCCCTGGCCACCGGGTGAGGGTCCCACATAGCACGCAGACCTCTCCTGCCACCCGCTGCTCCCCTCAGTAGTGTACTTCGGTCCTTCTGCCCGCTCTGCTCCCTGCTCTGGCTCTGGTGAATTCTCTCACCCTCCCGCGCTTCTGACTGTACCCAGCGCTTGTATAAATAAATCTTTAAAAAATTAAAAAAAAAAAAATTAACCCCTGGTCTCATCCAGATCTTGGTCAACATGAATGTCTTTCTGCCCATTGAGCAGAGCCCAGAGGTCCCTGCCCTACTGGGTCAGCTGACTGTTTGGTAACTGAATCAAGGGAGTCTGGGGGGAGGGGGAGATTGTTTTCAGGGAAGGGGCAGGACAAGACAGCAGAAACTAGGAACTAGGCGGCACTGGGCGTGAGGAGGCTCAGGTGTTTGCTATTTTCTAATCTGGCATCAAATGATTTCAGGACTTTCTTTAACCTCAAATTAGGCAGTGCCAGTATGAACAACTGAGTCTCGGAGTTGGGGCGCTCTCCTCCTTCCAGCCTCTGCAGCTTTCATTTCAGCAGGTCCCAATTGATCTCTCCTCCAACCTTCATGCTCCCTTTACACACACACACACCCCGCCCCAGGAAATGGCTGTTTATGTCACCTTTCCTGAGCACCTATTCTGTGCCAGTGCAGAGGTGCTAGGCACAGCTGGCTCAGACACTCAGGAGCACAGAGCTGATGGTTAAGAGCGATGCCCGTGATTATAAAGCTGCACATTTCTGCTGGTTTCCCTCCTACTTCTCCGGCTGCTCCTCCTCACTTGCCTTTACAGGCCTGACCTATTAAGTTCTGGCTCTGGTTTCAGGAATCCTCCAGAACTTGGGCATCTACCTCTTCTCTCTCCTTACTCCACTCTCCACATCCACTCTTATCCATAAATCTCCCCTCTGAGCTTTCTGTGCCTGTGCTCGCAGGACATTCATGGGTCTGCCCGCTGATCTTTAGTCCTTAATCCTACTTGTGGGTGGCCATGAGCTCTGTGAAGCCAGGAACCACACCCAACTTGTGCTGGGTCTTAGTAGAGACCCAGCACCCATTGAACTGGCTTAATGTGGGTGCCATCTGATTCTGAGTTCCTTTCCCAGATCAGTGGTTGTAGGGTAAGGTAAAAAAGTATCAGGCTTTTCTGCCCTCCCGCCATTAGGATTGATGATGGATCCCTGCAGTCCTGAATACATGCTTGATGGCGGGCACCTGGAGTAGGGTGTGGGCATGCGTAAGTGGCTACACCTGGGCTGAGAGACTGGGCTTATAAGGGCAGCGTCACGGGGATGCCAGCAGAATGAACAGAAGAGCAGAGAAAGAGACCACCAGAGAACGCCGGAGAGCCCAGACAGAGTGAAGATTTGCTCCCAGCCCCCTGGCACCCCTTGCCAGCCATGTACCTGGTAAATCCCAATAAAAGCCTGAAAAGACACTGAGAGCTCCAGCACTCTCTCCTCCTTTACTCTGTCCACTCGGGTCATAGAGAACCTGCTCCGCCCCTTCCTGCCATTACAGTGGTTTAATGGAATAGGACCCTACTGCCTTCATCCACCCTATTTCCCCATCCTACAAAACTCTCCTGGGAATAGTAGAGGTATGGAAGAAGCTGCTCTGCATAGACCTTGAATTAACATTCAAGAGTGAAATGGAGGCTGTGCTACCCATGGCAGTCAATACTGTCCCTATGTGAGCCTCCCCTCTGCGTGTCCTCCATCCTGGGCATGGGCCAGCCCTCCTTGACCCTCCACACACCTCTCGGTGAGCAGCGCAGCTTCGACTGTGGGCTTAGCTCCTGAGTTACACCAATATCTGGCCCCTTCAGAGCCCCTGCTGGCATGAGGAAGAGGAAGGCAGAGCCTACTTGCTTGTATAAGACTGACTGTTTGTTCTCTGCCAATTCCCATCTTCTTCACTTTCCTGTTCTGAACTTTTTGACATGGCCAGAAAGGGGCTTCTGGGCCCCAGGGAGCCATCTCCTCTCATCAGGAGGCTTCCGTCCTGCTCAGGAGCACTCCTTGCTGGCAAAACTTCTCCCTGGCCTGGCAGAGATGGGCAGAGGTTCTGAATCCAGGGACTTGTTAAGTCCCTACTGAGTTAGCAGCTTTTCTGTAGACACAGGGATTTAGTATGAGCACAGCCTGGTCCCTACTGTTGTTGAGGTCATCTCCAGCAGAGAGTCAGGCCCTTAATCAGCTCTACCGTGCAGGATGGCTGGGGCCCAGGACTCCCAGAGGATGAAGCAATGACTTCTGCAAGGTGTGTAGGGATTAGAGGAGACGTCACAGAGGAGGTTTCTTTGAGTTGGGCCCTAAAGGTTGCGGAGAGTGTGGCCTGGTGGGGGTGTGGGGGGCAGAAGGAGTTGTTCCGGCAGAGAAACGGCATGGGTGTGAAGGCCACAGAGAGCTCAAAGAGCAACAGGAAGTCAGCCCTAGGGCCAGGGGCCAGGCTTCTGATGGCGAGACCCTTCCTCAGCACCCTAACCAATTCACCTGTGTTTCCTCCTAGGTACCAACTTCACCCTGCGTGAACTGGGGCTAGGAGAGGTGACGCCTCCTCATGGGACTCTGTACAGAACTGATATTGGCCTCCCCCACTGTGGCTACTCCATGGGGGCCAGCTCCGATGCTGACATGGAGGTCGACACCGTGCTGTCCCCAGAGCACCCTGTGCGCCTGTGGGCCCGGAGCACCCGGTCGGGGCGCAGCTCCTGCCTTTCCAGCCGGGCCAACTCCAACCTCACACTCACCGACACGGAGCACGAGAACACTGAGACTGGTGAGTAGCCCTCCTGCTCCTGGCCTGGGCCGGGCACTTTGGTAGCAGAGCTGGTGTTTTAATTATAATATTGATTTTCTGCTCCATCCCTGGGGTCTCTGGTGAAGTGGGTGAAAAATTGCTTTGCGCTCAGTGGTCAAAAGGCAGAGCCTCTTGCAGAGAAACCTGAAATTTCCAGCTGAGATTGAGTTGCTGCTCTTTCCTTCCGGATCAGGGAGGTACCTAGTGGGCGGAGTTATTGTTTACAAGGCGCCTCTATGTCGGGAATGGGGTGAGGGACAGCAGGGACTGAGCCCTGTAGCTGTCCTCTCCATCAGCCATGCCCGGTCCTGCCCCGGGTCTGGCTCACAAGTCTCAGGCCTCCGGAGCTCTGCAGTCCCTGGCAGTCGCCACAGTACTATCCCGCCATCATACCCTGTGCTGTTCAGGGGATGGCCAGCAGCTCCAGAAGCTGTTATCTTGGGGTGTCTGAACATTTGAAGTGTTGCTCCAGCTTGCCCATGATCTCAGGCGCACGTTTGGGGAAGTGCTGACTCTGGACTGTGTGTCCCACGCTCATCTCTGCTGCTGCTCCTTTGCCCGCGCCCCACCATGCTGTGGGGGAGAAAGGTGACAACTTTCTCCTTCTTATGGTGGAGGGAAGGGAGCCTGGTTTCAGGATTATCCTCTTTACTGGAGTCTTTGTTGGTAGATCGCTAAGGAGCCCTGAGTTAGATGCAGCCCGAAGCGGGCTGCGCAGCAGAATCTCCCTGTCTCTGGTGTGTGTGCCCCCGGCGGAGGTGTGTAGGGAGGACGGCAGAGGCCAGCCCTTTTCTGTCTGGAAAAGGGCTTTACTTTCTCAGAACTCCCACGAGGAGGTCTCCTGGTGCTTCCACATCAGAGGTGGATGGGGGCATGTAGGGAAGGCGGCCTGAATGAGAACTGAAGAGCCACACCGGGTACCAGTGCCCCCTACTGGCTTGCAGCTCTAAATGCAGGATCCTAGTGATTCCTGAGCTGATTCCCTGCCCCAGGGCCAGAGCAGGGCCAGGGCCCAGGTAGACGGCTCAGTCTGAAAAGGACACTCCAGATGGGTTATGCAGGACACAATCACTGATTTGGAATCAGACAGGAGATCAGGTAAGGTCAGGGTCAGGTAAGAAAATATATCTTCTTAAAGAGTCAGGGGCAGCAGAATTCCAAATGCCCATTTCACCACCCCTCCCAGAGAGCAGGGGTCATTTTCCTAGAGCCTGTGTGAGGGGGAGGGGAGCAGAGGTCCCTGATCCCAGCCAGCCTGTGAGGGCATCATGGACCTGAGTATCCAAAGGAGTGCCCCATCTCTGCAGGAGGGAGCCAGTCACACCCCTCATTCCTCTTCCAAGTCAAAACTCTTCTGTCTCACTTCCCGCACTGTGCACTGAACCAGAACACCTGCCACAGGTGCACAGGCGATGCCAGGGCAGGGAAAGCAGGGCCCGAGTAGAGGCAGGAAGCAGTTCCATCACTGTCCTGGGGTGTGACATTAGATAAGGAAATCAGCATTTCCTGTGTTCTGAGAATGTTAATGGTTCTTAGATGGGAGGAGGGGTGACGTGCTCTGAAGAAACAGTAGATTAAATAATTTAAACTGGTTTCTTTGACGCAGGACTTTTCAGGACCTTTAATATGTCGATGAACATGCTAATGAGAAATTACAGGGAAGGATATATTCAGCATTTCCCATATCGATCTGACCACAGAACCCTTTGTTCCCAGAGCCTCTGGTGGGGCCAGTGTTCTGAGTGAGACTTTCTGGGAATGAGTGAGCTGAACAAGCTGCAGGCCCTTCTCTGTCTAGGACCCCTGAGCCTAAGTGTTTACATTAAAGTGAAGGTGAACAAGAGGAAAATGATAGCGACAGCACTGCTACTGCTGGTTCTAGACCCTCGGCACTGTGCTGAGTGCTTTATTTCTGAAATCCCCTTTACTTCCTCTCCGGCCCTTTAAGGTAGTTTTAAAGAATAAGCAAATGGCAGCCCAGATATTTTAAGATACCTGCATAGGACACACAGTGGGCAAGATAGAATTTGAATTCAAGCCTGTGTAACTAGAAATCTTTACCCTTAGAGCCCTGGTTATATTGAATTTCCTCTGCAGCAAAATGCTTGGGTTGTTTGTTCTTTTGAAGGCTTCTTGCTCTGGTGACAAATGATCATTTTTCCATAAAGTCATGACAGAGAGAGGCACACACCGCCCACATTATTGTATATTCCCTGAGAGCTGAATTACAGTTGAATTAGGCCTCTGTTGGGTGATAATGACATAGCCGACAGCCTAAAGAGCTTCAGCCTTTAGCAACAGGGACAGGGAAAGGTCCTGGCCATGTCTCTCTCGCCTTCTGATTGTGGGTTTCCACACTGACCATGGCCCCATAAGCTTCACTGCAGGAAGGACAGGCAGAGGAGGTTGGGGTGAATCTAACAACGAGCTCCTGACTTCTGCATCCCCTCTAGGCCTAGACTCCCTGATCCCAGACACCCCACAGCTGCCCACCCGCTTGTCTACTTGCTCCCTGTCGGGAAGTTACATTAATGGCTTTGTTATACTAGGTCTAAAAAACTGACAGTGAGTCATACTGTGAGTGAATGGCTCCCTTTGATCCACTGATGAGGTTGACAGCACTTTTGTTCACACCATTATGTCCTTAACTTAATGGCGGACTGAGGCTCAGAGGGGTAGAAAGCATGTTCATGCTGCATGTCTAGTTGAGCTGGAGCCAGGTTCTCCACAGCAGTCTTGGTTCTTTCTCTTTCCTTCTCTTCTCCCTGCACATCCCACCCCCAGGCCCCCTCTTCCTCCCTGGGCATTCACCCCCTTGGCCCCAGAAATCTCACTTTTTTCTTTGATAAGAACTCAGATCTGGGCCTCCCTGGTGGCTCAAGGGTTAAGATACAAACTGTGAAGCCATCCGCAGCCTCTGCAGCACGAGTTTGATTCCCGGCTGGCCAGGGAGCAACCCACATAGTGCAGCAGACCTCTCCTGACTCGCCCACTGCTCCCCTCAGCAGTGTGCTTTGGTCAATCTGCCTGTTCTGATCCCCATTCTGTCTCTGGTGAATCCTCTCACCCCCCCATACCTCTGGCCTGTAACCCAGCTCTTGTATGCATAGATAAATAAATCTTTAAAAAAAAAAGAGAGAGAACTCAGATCTTACCATCAAAGTAGGTCTCAGCTCCGTTGGGTAAATTAGCCAACAGGTGGCCACTTTGCAGGAGCAGAGGAAAGGAAAGCCCTACTGAGGGCCTATCATATGTCAAACCACTGCAAGGGCTTTTAATCCTCATGATTAACCCTCACACCACCATGGCATTTCCATTTCCAAGATGGAGAAACTGAGATTCTCTAAAGGTCAACTGACGTGCCAGCCATTGTACAGCTGGAAAGTCAGCAAGTGGGCAAGACTCGAATTTAAATGCACAGCTCCCTGGTAATATAGTTTGAGCCTTTGGCCTACCTCCTTGGAGTCAGCTAGAGCATTGGTCTCTCAGTTTTGGTGAGGCCACCAAAAATGGGCCATGGAGTTTTCTGAGCTTCTTACCAGATGTGAGATGCATAGTGTAACCCCAGCAACTTCCAGCCATAGGAACATCTACTCTGCCTCCACAGCCGGTCTTGCATTAGTCAATAGTAATTGTCAACAGTATTGATAGCGGTGGAGGCTTTTGCTGAGGTCACGGTGGTGCTGCATGCGGCTGCCATCAATAATAACTTTTATGGGGTCCATTAAAGCCAATTTCTGCCCCTGAAGGTTAATGTCAGCAGCTTTTATGTCACTGCTTAATATCCAAAATAAATACAGAATTGACTGGGTAATGTAAACACAAATCTTCCTCCCAGGGCCCTCTGGCAGAGCCAGCCCTCAGGCTTTCCTGTCGAGTGGGGCCAGCAGGCTGGGCAGGCAGCAAACCTAGGCGGTGCTGGCATCCTGCCAGGCAAACTGTTGGCATTCAATTAATGTTTTTTAGGAAGCAAAGGTTGCAATTTGAACTCCCTTCCCAACCACAGGTCAGCTCAGCAGTATCCCTTTTGTAGATCCATACCATAATACCTTCTATAGCTATGCTGAGCTCCTTCAGCGTGCTGGGCATTACACTCACACAGTGCTTCATGGCCAGAACGTGCTCAGAGAAGAATGCGGTAGGCAATCAGCATGCAAACGTCATGGAGTATGACTACACAAACCTAGAGGCCCAGTCTACTGCACACCTGGGCTAGGTGGCACAGCCTCTGGGGACCACCATTGCACACGTGACCCAAAGTTGGCTAGAACGTCAAGCAACACATGATTGTCATGTGAAGGTATAAATGTGGGGTAGAAGCTAGAAGAATGATGAAGGAGGTGGAGCTATAACATCTTCATGGTCCTCTGTGATGTAGGTAGAGCAGGCACGGTGCAGCATGGAAAGAACAGTGACTCCAGAGTCACAGAGGAGTCCTGGCCACAAATCCTGCCCCAGCTCTGAAGCCTTGGACAAGTCAAATCAAGGACAACTCCCTGAGCCAGCTTCCTCATTTCCAAAACAATATGCCACAGTTACCAGAAGCTGGGAGGGGGAAAGGGAAGTTAGTGTCTAATGACAGCAAGGGCTCAGTTTGAAATAGAAGGCTTAGGCGAGTTTTGCCACAGTAATTAGAAATTGTACAAAAACAGCATGGTATCTTCTTTCTTTGAAGTGTTGCTGTGAACATAACATTTGGGAAGTGTATGGTCTGTGTTGGTCCTTAATTCATGCTAGTTATTAATTTGGTCAGAACCTGTAGGATGATAGTGAAAGGAGCCATTCATTTTGCCCTGGGGGTACGAGGGCTCATTCCTTCCTTCTTCGCCCATCATGCACCTGGACTTAAAGGCCAAGTAGGATTTTAGTGAGCATAAAGGATCTGAGATGAGCGTTCCCAGTAGAGGCAAGTGCGAGCCAAGGCTGGGAGGCGTGAAGAGGCATGGTGAGCCTGGGGAATAGTGAGCATTTCCTTGGTG